GGTTGTACTTCACTTTCGCCCAGAAAAGGCCGTACCTCTGGCTGCTTCAGCATGACAGCACTCTCCACCTGAGATGGGTTCAGATACGGACTCCCGTGGGCACTGTACATCACATCCAGGTAGCCGGGCCCGTCGCTCAGTGAAGTGATCAGCACGTGATCTCCATTAGGGTTATAGCCCAGCAGTTTGGCCACTTCCTCCTTAAACTCGTCGTACTTGCTCTTAGGCCCAGTTGGGGAATTGTGCTTGATTATGAATTCTTCAGCCGTTATTCCTGGAACAAAAGAAATGTATTATTAAGAAATCATTTAACGGCCTACAGAAGCTCATAAGAATATATTTGTCTCTACATTTGGGTCTACACACGAGGAAAACATGTTTAACTAGAAGGAACATAATAAAAGCTCAAGTGCTATTGACAAAAACAGATGCATTGATTTCAACAAAAGGTATGTGCTGAGAATACCAAATTTCATGATAAATGAGTACTTTTAAAATATTAAGCAAGAAAAATGAATGCGCTTTAAGATGATACATACGCCTAAAAATTGCCGAGTACCAACTTCCATCGTGTTGTGTCACAAATAAAAAACAATATGGGACTAACCTGATAGCCGCACCGCCCCTGATTTGCGAACAGCTTCATCACTCAGAGGCAGCACAGTCACTGCCACTGAACACCTTTCAGTGTTCATGAACTTCTGATCATATACATCCACCTGTGGAGGAAGCAAACAAAGCAGGACCTTAATTATCATTTTTTCCCCATAGCAAATTCTAACTGCTAATAGCTTCAACAAAGCTTGTTACTGGGGACATGCAGAAACAAAATCCTTTAAATTCATTTACAAGTGAAAATTCAAAGCAATCCTTCAATTCAAAATCCAGCCTCCACAAGTGAGTTTCTTCTCTGTTTTCTTAGAGTTGATATTTATTATATCAAGATTAAATCTCCAACCTGGAACAGCGAGTAGACAATTTTGAAAGTATCATCAAGCATAGCATTTTGCGAAATAACTGTTCCACTTGAATACCAGGCTTAAAAGTTTTGCTGGCTACCAAGACCAAAACTAAATTTTGAAAGTACACAGATCTTAGCGCACATGTGTGAAGGCTGCAAGTAACTGAGCAGCAAAGAGAACATAGCTTTATTTGCTTGAGTCTCAATGTAGCCAAAACAGGATACCGACACTACAAGACGCATTTGGTTTGAGTAAAGAGAAACACATCAATACTATCGTCTTCGCTTCATGCACGTAAACAGAAAGAGAGAAAAGACAGAAAAAACAGAGGGAAAGAAAAAGTTACGACCTCCCAGTGGCACCCTCCACCCATCCACCCACACTACGTGCAGCAAAGGTTAAAGATGAAAGGGGTTGAAGAAGGCACAGTGAGCCATACATGGTGTAGTTGTTGTAGTAAATGTTTTATGGCACTTGCAACACAATTAGATCAGTTAGTTTAGTTTTAGTAGAGGTTTTACGGCGCTCGCAACTGCATAAGGTCATTTGAGCGCCAGAAGATTAGAGGTGTTACAAGAGAGTACAAACATAAAAAAGAAGAAGGGGATATAAGGATAATAGATGTTTGATAGTAAAGAAGGAGCAAACCACACCAAAGCACCCGTCAACCACCCACACAATTAGATCATATAAACGCCGAAGATTAAAGGTGTTAAAAAGAAAGTAACAAACACAAACACACTCGACTTAGTGAAGCCCAGTTTGGCTTCAGAAATGGCAGGGGCTGTACCTAAACTGTCTTTGCATTAAGACAATTGTGTGAGACGGTCACTGCACATGACAAAACAGACCTCAACATGGTCTTTGTAGACTGGGAAAAGGCGTTAGACTGGGTAAACATATTTTCGCTTTGGGGAGTTCTAGAGGAATATAGATGAACAGGACAATTGCTGGAGAACATTATAGCAATTTATGAAAACAGCCTGTGCGTTGTAAGAACAGACAGACTATCTGACTGGTTCCCAATCAGGTGTGGGGTGAGACAAGGGTGTGTTCTCTCTCCGCTTCTCTTCATCACTTACATGGATAAGATCATGAAAGCAGCAAATGACAACATCACTGAACTAAACAAGCTCCAGATGACTAGAGCATATGTGAAGCAGTGTGGTGAAATCAGATGCTCGTCAAAATAATCAAAGTGAAGAAACTGGCATTTTTGTGTAATTTTGTGAATTTCTATTGAATTTTTGTTTTTTGGCTCAACATCCTCCACGCCCATTAAAGTGTACATTTTTGTGTGGATTTTACTGAAAAACGTACAGCCACAAAAAAGAGTAAATTTTCAGTTTTTACGGACTCTCAAGCTAAGGAAATAACTAATCTTTGGCAGCCATTTTCTCCCTAATTTTACCTCCGAAACCAGGTGACCCCACCTTCTTCATTCACAATTATCTCGACTGATGTTCAAGATAAAGGGATATTTTTTCATCAAAAGCAAGACAAATAAACAAGCATTAAGATGATAACAATTTCACAGGCTCCAAAAATTTACGAGCGTCTGATTCCACCATGTCGTGACACTTACTAAGTACAGATGAAGAGAAATTACAAAAACACACCACAAGGCTAAATGAGGAATGTATGCACCTAAACATAAAAATCGCCATTTCAAAAATAGATGTTATGAACAGCAGAAACCCAAGAAACTTAACATCTTTATTGATAAGACACAGCTCCAACAAGTAGAAGAATTCAAATATTTGGGAAGCATCTTCACACAAGATGGGCATATGGACAGAGAGATAGAAACAAGAACCAAGAAAGCAAATGCAGTAACATACCAACTTCTACCTTGCTCAATCACAAGAATATCTCAATCGAAATGAAAGCCAAGCTCATCAATAGCGTCTTTATACCAACCCTAACATGCCACTGCCAAATATGGTCCCTAAATAAAAGCACAAGAAAGAAAAATCAATGTATGTCAAATGGGGTGTCTCCGTAAAAACAGCAATGTCACGAGAAAAGACTGCATAAGGAACAAGACCATAAGCCTACTAACCGGAATACAACCAGTTATGAATTTCATTGAGCGTCAAAGAATCAAATGGCTCGGACATCTATCCAGAATACCCCTGAAACAACCAGCAGCAAGAGCTTATCACACCCGTGAATCTGGCTTCAAATCAAGAGGAAGACCAAGAAAGACTTAGCTGGATGCAGTTCAAAAAGGTCCTGGAACAATATGCTACGTCAGTCACAGACGCCACACACTTAGCACAGGACCGAAACCTGCACCTCCCCTCGACACCTTAACGATACCAGAGGAAGAAAAAAGTAAAGTAATAATAACAAACACAAAAAAGGAGAAGGAGAGATAAAGACGACAGGTAGATGTTTGATAGGAAAGAAGGAGCAAGCCACACCAGAGCATCCATCAACCACCCACGGAGCAATACACTCAGGGCCACACAGATACAAGCCTAAAGAAAAAATATTTGTTTATGTTTTGGTAAGAGCTGTTATATATAGCACTTGCAACACAAGTCACGTGCGTGCTGAAGGCTTGAGGTGTTACAAGAGAGTAACAAACACATAAAAAAAGAAGAAAGATAAAGACGAGGGATGCTTAATAGGTCGAAGGAGCAAAAACATCAGAGCACCCGCCAACCAACTACTAGAGAAAAAGGACAAAAAAGTTACCTCAAAACGGTAAGCAGCTCGCCCTGTTGTAACTGGAACCCCTGCCAACATAATGATTGCACCATCTGCTTCATTCACTCTGTATCATGAAAAAAAAAAAAATCAACCGATGAATAACATCATTAACTGCATCATTCTGATTCAGATACTGATGATATCAGGTGGTGAAACCATAAAAATCGGTACAGTGTAATAAAAAAGTGATGTGCTATTTTCTTTGTTAGATCAAAGCCTCAATCCACAGATCAGCAAGTAAGGAAGTTGGAGGAGAGAAAGGAAAAGTATGAAGACAGAAAGCTCCTCCTACATAAGATTTGTTGCTACAATAACACATGATGAGAGACAGCCAGGGCTCCTTATGTCAAAGCTCCCATTTCAGGAAAATTCAGGGTCAATTTCAGGTATTTTGCTCCAAAATCAGGTAGCACAAATACAAAGAAAGGGAGGGGGGAGGGGAGGGATGTACTTTACCCGGTATACAAAGTTACCATTGAGAAGGCTTGCTTTTCATGATATTGGGTAATTATTTATTTAAAACTTGTGTGTGCAGAACAGGCATTTTTTTCCGTTAGTTTCAGCGCCTATCACAAATCCGGTAGTTTTGACACTTTTATGAGTATGGTGGTAGAACAGGTCCAAAATCAGTATCTGCCAGAAAAATTGGGTAGATTTAGGCAGCCCTGGACAACCCACTTGAGGGAGATCTGTTCTCCCTGTCAAAGGGTCAATGGACTGTTCATATATATATCCTTTGGCCTGCTCAGGGTCATACTGCAACTTAAAACCAAAAACTGACAACTAAAGAGCAAAACAAAATCATTATGAGCAAATCAGCCTTGTTAGATGAAGTAAAGAGAAGCACATTGACACAAGAACAAGGGCAGGGAAAAAGTAAGACACGGACAGACAAACAGACTGACTTTCCTCATTCTTTAAGAAGCAGCTTCCATTTTTCAGACCAGTCTCAATGATATCTTCGCTTCAAGTCATGCATTTAAAGAACAAACCTTGAGAAATGTCAAACAATAATTCATTAACCATGGCAAAAGCTCTCATACTTCAAAACATCATCAGACAGTAATGCTTCTACAATATCAGAAGTTGAACATGAAAGGTCAAAAAATATTTTTTTGAAACAGATTTTGCAGTCAAAACGCAGATTAAATGAGGACTCACGTGAAATAGTTCTGCATGACTTCCGGACCTATAAACCTGAAAGTTTTGTCGGGAAGATCCCAATCATCTGGGTCTTCTGTATACACTCGTCCAACCTCGATATCCGCAAACTTGTCTAAAACAAAAGAAAAAAAGAAAGACATTTATTCCAACTGTGAAATTCAGGTCACATTTGCATGTTCTACATAATGCAGATATAAACTCACAACTTAGTAGCACATTTCTCACAAAGCACAATGTCACACCTCTGTATAAGCAATTGCTCAAGACAGAATTAGTCTTAGTCTTAGAGTGCGTTAGTTTTTTTTAGTAGTGGTTTTACAGCACTCGCAACTGCATAAGGTCATATGAGTGCCAGAAGATTAGAGGTGTTACAAGAGAGTAACAGACGTAAAAAAGAAGAAGGGGAGGTAAGGATGATAGATGTTTGATAGAAAAGAAGAAGCAAACCACACCAGAGCATCCGCCAACCACCACTTAGAGTGTGTTAGTGGGTGCTGATGTGTATTGCTTTCATTGGAACTAATGTATGTCCCAGACACTGTGGAAGATTTCAGCAACTGTAGCAAACCTGAACCTATCACAACATGGCATTGAACAGAAGGGCCAGAGCCCAGCTGTTGTTGGAAGGATAACAACAACAACTACAACAACAATCTGTCCATTGTGCAGCGAGGAGCCTCAAGATTTGAATCACTGGCTGCAGAAATGCCCTGCCACGGAGGTCTGGTGGTGGCATCTCTTTGGGGAGGATTCAGGGAGGTTGGACTGCCTCACCTGCTACCCAAGAGAGGCGGTGGCCCTGGCGAAGAGCATGCTCTTCGGGGCTTCAGACATTTCGAACGGATAGGCTACCACACACACACACAACAACAAGAGCAATGTAGGTCTGAGAAAGTTCTTCCTTATGTGGTTGCACTGGTTTCCTGGTTTATATTTCGAAATGTTTTTTCTTGTGTGTTTGGGGTTTTACTCTCAGTAATCATGTCATCGATGCAAAGCTCTCAGAGCTTATACTTGTATGGGGATAGAGCACTATTTAAATTCAATCTGTTATTATTTTTACCGCTAATCTTCTCATATCACGCTGTACACCATATAAGCAGCAACTCTTAAAAACCTTCAGTGTCCAGTCACACAGCATGTGTGCTATCATTAGAGGTTTTTGTCGACCATTTCAAATCTCAAACATATTATGTACCAACAAACAAAATTGTATCCAGTGCTGATAATGAGAAAAAGTCAAAAAAGAGGAAAATATTCCGACCCCGTTGCAACCCCTAAATTTTAACACAGAACTCTAATACTAACTACAATAATATAACACAACAACAAAAATGGAAATCCACGGGTCTGCGGAGAATTATCAGCACTGTGTATAACAACACAGTGGAATCAGGCTCTTGTAAATTTTTGGGCATGTGGAGTTACTGGTATCATCTGAAAGCTTATTAATTTGCCTAGCTTTCAAAGAAGAAAATCCCGATATATCTTGAATCAAAGTCAAGATATTTGCGATTGAAGGAGGTGGGGTCGCCTGGTTCTAGTGGTAAAATTATTGAGAAAATGGTCGCCAAAGTAAGGTAACTTCAATTACTTGAGAGTCCTTGAAAACTGAAAAATCACATATTTTGCTCTTTTAATCAATGTATTTCAGTAAAATTCACATGGAAATGTTTTTATCTGGACATAGCAGTGCTGAACATAAAAAAAAAAAAAAAATTCAATAAAAATTGCCAAAAATGCGGTTTTCTTTGATTTCATTATATTTAGGAGCGCCTGATTTCACCATGATGCCCCACAATTACGTCAAGTGGGACTGGGTTTGGTGCTGTGTACGTTCTGCATGTTATCTCTTCTCAGATTCCCCAAAACGGCCCAGTCTGGGACAGTCCAAAGAAATTTGGGACAGCTGACAAGCTTGTCATTAGCCTCAGCCAGCATATATGGCATCACGGCAAGCTAACAATGGCATACCAAATCAAATGCTGGCTTCAAACTGCTAAATTTGGAGTTTAAAAAAGATATTTGTGTCCTTTGTTGCACTCTGATTTTGTTTTGTTTGTGCAACAGTAAAACACATACAGTGCATATTAACCTATAGGTTAACATGTCATTGATTAGTTGTTAAAATGTACTATGCCAAAATTGCAGTTTAATCTTATCTGTAGCACAGATTGCATAATATTGTTCTGAAAGAAAAATTTGGTCACAATTTAAATTCATCATCAAGTGCCAGATCTGGGGCAGACATTGGCAATCTTGGTTCTCCATTCATTCCTTTGCTTGAATGCTCTTAAAAAAAGATACATGGTCTTTCCCCATTACTCATCTGTTTATTAAATTTCTAAAAAATCTAAATGTTGAAAAACACAAAAATATAATGTTCGTACAATTTGTTGAAAGAATAAAACAGCCTTTTCTCTCTCCAGAAATATTTTTTTCATGTGCTTAGTACATTTGAACAGCTTGTCAACGAAATATGAAGAGAACTGATGACTGTTCATACCTTCATAACTGAACACAGTGATGTCCTGGTGTCCTGGCTTGTGCATGTTGTCATTTTCATCCCCAATGACAATGGTGAGAGTATTGGTGCTCGTCAGAGACTCAGTGTTTGGGTCGTTGACTTCATACATGTCACTGATCAGAATGGGGAGGTAATACTGCTTCTGTTCCTCTCTGTCAAATCTGCTGCTGGTACGTATGAAAGCCGACCCTTGACCAGCTGAAAGAGACAAATGTGAATGCCATACCTTTCTGGACTAGATCAGATCAAATTTTCTGTATAAGTTAAATACCATCATCATTATCATCATCAAGTGCCAGATCTATGACAGACAAAGGCAATCATGCTTTTCATTTCATTCCTTTGCTCAGATGCTCTAAAAAAAAGGGTCACATTATCCTGATCTTTCCCAGTCACCCATCTGTTTAAGCTTTGTAAGCAGTTTTCTCTGGATATACCCCTACCTCAAATGCTTTCAATTTTGCCTGTGAGAGCTAAATGTTCAAGAATTTAGTGTCTGTTTGAGTGTCCTGATGATTTGTATCAGTAAGTGGCCCACATACAGTCCCCCCATTTTGAACTACTTTACCTAGTGTGCAACATTCACAGCCACCATGGGAGTCACAGTAAGGCTGTAGCTATGTCTGACATGAACAGCATCATTGTGCAAAGACATGGGGGGGGGGGGGGGGTCATTCTTTATTTTTACCAAAATTTTCCTTACTGCACTTTGTGAAATGATTATGCATTTTTCATGTAATCAAGATGATAACAGCAGCCTCATTTATGCTGTCCCAAAAGACGCTATCAAAGGTGATTACACAAGGCTGCTATAATAATTGTAGGTAAAACTAAACAGAAAACAGCAAGGATAAATGAGGACATGAACTGAGTCTATACCAAAATAATGTTTCCTTAAGTGTCATTAATCAGGAAAGCAGTACTAATTTAGAAGGAAAGCTGGAACAGGAATGTTTGACTTCATACAATGGAGAACTATCATATGTACTCGCCTAAGATACCTCACATACCATACATTACAGGTGGTGTATTTTTTACTCGTAAAGTAGGCCATGTATATAATAGGCCTACAGGGTAAATTTCTGACATGCTGGGAAATCAACTAGTCTGGCATCAAATGTCGTATTTAACCTTTGCGAACTGTTGGTTGCTGCATTGAGATTAATTTTATTTGTGAGACTTTGAGTGATAGATAATCCAAGTAAGATGCAATAATGTGTTGTGGTATCCAAATTTGAAATACATCAGAAGAAACAGTATTACTTCACTGCATAGGTGTTGAAGATCTGATCCTGACTGTATGCCCCAGTTATAATACAGGAGAGGGGTAGGTGGTGTATACTTTTTAAAAAAATCCTTAATATTATAAGTGAGTCTACATGGTGTTCTCTGTACCTAAATTTAGGAGGTCTGTGTATAAGCATCACGGGGCTTGGTAAAAGTTACAACTTAAAGACAACGTTTTGGCAATATTTGGTGATAACTTTGAAATCTGTCTGCTCACATGCTCACATAATATCTGTCGCTTGCTTACTTCCAAATAAAAACTGCACCAGTGCAAGGGATCATGCTGGCTGTTACAGATTTTATGCGGTTTTTATGGTGGAAAAGAAGTCTAAAAAATTGAATTCCTACCAAAAATTCGCAATAGTAGCACTTGGCTCTATTAGAGGTTTTCCCCCTGTTGTCCAATCTTGTAAATTCAGTTAACATTTTGAGAGCAAGGATTTTACAAACAGCAGGATATATTAGCCTCTGGTCCCTTACATACCAAAGTATGCGAATTCTACATTCAAAACATAACAATGACACAAAAATTTAAAATATTCCTGGACATTTCAAATCTCTCTTTTCAACAAGGATACTTACCTGGGTTATAAGTCAGAGTAAAATGAGTACAAGCAGGAACATTGCAATTCCCCGGAAGAGAGAAATAAAAAGGATCAGCATGTGGTGGAGCATCGGGATCTTTAGCAAACACTTCAACAACTACAAAATTGTTATGGTCTTGGTTCTCCTCCACCTTGGGCAGATAGTCCTCCAGGAAACTGGGCGCGTTGTCGTTTATGTCTATCAGATTCACAATCAGCTTTGCCGTGCTGTTCAGAGGTATTTCACCTGCAGGAAAAAAAATTAAGAAAAGAATTAAACCAGATACTGAAACCAGATATTTAGAAAATGTGAATAGGTAATTGAGTCACATTGCGGTGGAATCAGGTGCTCATCAATTTTTGGGCATGTGAAGTTATTGGCATCATCTTAAAGCTTGCTCATATTTGTCTATCTTTGGTTGCAAAAATACCCAGTGACCTTGAAAAAAGTTGAGATATTTGCCATTGAGGGTGTGGGGGTCACCTGGTTTCAGCAGTAAAATTAGCAAAGAAAATGGCCGCAAAAGTTTGGAGACTCGAGAGTCCTTGGAAACTGAAAATTTACATTTTTTGTGCCTTTAATCAACTTTTTTCTTCAGAAAAATCAAGACAGAATACTGAAGTGGATATGATCACTGTGTTTGGCAGCTGGCTAAATAGGACGAAGAAGTGCACTCAGATCAATGGTTGTTATGTTGAATAGAAGACACGAAGAAGTGCACTTAGATCAATGGTTGTTATGTTGAATAGAAGACATGTTTTTGTATGTAAATCTAAAATATAGCTTCTATTAAATAAAATATAGTCAATTTTACAGAACAGGGGAACTGATTTCTGGGACAGACCTCATAGTATGCGGGGGAGGGGGGGGGGGGGGGGGAGAGAAGGCAGTTACAAAACAAAATGTGAATTACGTGTTTGGGGTAGATTTAACACCGCAATCTGAACTATACCTGTTGCTACCTATTTGTTGGATGATCAGCAAGCAGTTATGTCAAGACTTGCTCTAATTACACGACAGAACCATGGTAGTTCTGGTCTGTGCAAGGTAGTATACGGGTGGAGATTGGGGCATATTTGTTTAAAGTATCTTTAAAGGAGGAGTGTAGACTATCAATGGAAACCACTTCAACAGAGGATAGAGAGCATTCCCATTTTGAATTTGGATACAAGGACATCACAGATGCTCCACAAATATGAGCTTCTTTTTTTACAAACTGCTTCGTAAAAAAATTTTTTGCTAAACTCAAAAGATCAACATGCAGGGTTCATACTGAACAGGAGATTTTTTTCCAAAGACTTTTCCAAGAGTTTTCAAGACCAGATTTCTTTTTTCCAAGACAAATAACGTGTCATTTCGGAAGAAAATTTGTTCTGTTGCAGAACTTTTAAATTCAGAATGCGTTAAGTCGAGGCCTTCTAAACTTCGAGGGAATATTTTTACAATAGATCTTGTTAAAAATTTGTTTTTCCAAGACTTTTTCAAGAATTTTGCCAATTTCCTAAAATTTCAAGAGTGTTCCATGTCTTGGATAATAAAAACAAAATTCCAAGAGTTTTCCAGTTTTCCAAGACCAGTACAAACCCACAACATAGGAAAAATTTCATTTTCACCAATATCGGTCAACAAACACTTCAAAATCTGAACCTACCTTTGTCTTTAGCCATAATGATGACTTCTCGTTTATCCCCAAGCTCACGATCCAGGGGTTTCCTTGTAAAGACTTCTCCACTAGTTGGCTCAATATAAAACTCATAGAACGGATCAGACTCTCGCACCACAGAAAACCTATTGGAACAGAAATCTTGGACTGTCAGATCTGACAACGAAAAACATGCCAATAAAAAAAAATACAGTCAAAAGGATTTATCTTCCTGCTGTCCTTATGTTTGTATATAATTAATGTATGGTTGAGAAAGTTCTTCTTTATGCCGTTGAATTGGTTTTCTTTTTACTAACTGTGAGATGTTTTATCTTGTGTGAATGAAGTATTACGCTAAGTGATCATTAATCATATCCACTCACAGGTCCCACAATGCTAATTGTACACTATATACACATAATACAGAAAAGCAAGATATCACCAGTACTCATTTTTAAAAATTGCCTATCCACTATTTTAGACCACCAAGGGATCTTTAACGTGCGCAACTTGCACACGGGCCCTCCAAGATTTTTCACATTTTAGAAAACTTCTAGTACAAAGATCTCTTTGAAACTTTCAGTACTTCTCAAAAATCATTTTGACAGACTGTTATGCAAAGCGTACCAATTGGATTATAATGAGTACATTTCCTCTTTGGAAAGAGCTGGCACTGAGTTCCCCACTTCGTATGGATACGATAGTAAAACACGACATACAGACAGGGTTAGCACATCCTCCTGCAGTGCGGGGAACACCGGGCTCTGAGACAGGGAACGTGGTTAACCCCATTGGCACTGCATAAGAAGCTGTACTGACTGACAGAAACGGACTGAGCAGGATGCCCCAGTATATGATAGATACCGGAATGCAAGTGTGATGCGATCAAGAAGAATATGACTTGAAGCCTTACACTTTCATTTCTCCACTTACGTGAATTCTTTGTTGATGCCGCTGTCCAAGTCAGTGGCGCTGAACTGGACGTTGAGTGGACCCGGTGCCTGCTCCTCTGTCACTGTCACAGAAATCTCTCCACGGACAAACTGCGGTGCATTGTCGTTGAAGTCCAAAATCTTTATGAAGATTTCTGTGGTGTTAACATGGGTTGCTACCCCATCAGTCACTCGGAGAGTGAAATTAAACTCTCTTGGATCCTCTTCATAATCCACAGGCTGGTGAGAAATAATCCGTAAGATCATAAGTATTGAATTGACTTGAAAGAAAGCACAAATTACCTTGCAAAAAAGTGGATGCTCACTTTTTATGAAATAGTCGCCTTTTGACAACATGTAAAAACACAATAATCAGGCATGATTTCATGACTTCCATAAAAAAATTCGCAAGAATCTGAAACGATGTAAAAATAACCAAGAAATGTTATCAGACTGACTCTGCAGTAATCAAATGTGTCACGGCCTGGTGGAATTAGGCGCTCGTCAATTTTGGGGCATATGGAGTTATGGGTACCGTCTTAAAGTCTGTCCATTCGCTTTGCTTTTGATGTAAAAAATATCCAATTATCTTGAATACAAGTCAAGATATTGGCATTTGAAGGAGGTGGGGGTCGCCTGGTTTCAGTGGTAAAATAAGCGAGAAAATGGCTGCTAAAGTTGAGTTATTTCCTTAGCTTGAGAGTCTGTGGATACTGAAAATTTACATCTTTTCTGCCTTTAATCAACATTTTTCAGTAAAATCCACACAGAAATGTGTTCTTAAATGAGCATGAAAAACAAAAAAAATCGATAAAAATTCCCAGACCTGCGGAAAAGTGTCAGTCTCTTGACTTTCATTGTTTTGACGAGCACCTGATTTCACCACGCTGCCTCACAAATGACTTTGCATACATACCTGGTTCACATAAATGATGGCAACATTATCTGATGTTTGAACCCCAAAGAAAGACACTCCGTTGAGAATTTCATAACGCAAATTTTTGTTCCGTGGTTCACTGTCTTCATCAATGGCTTGAATTCGGAGAATTTCCCCACTCGTAGTATGCTCAGACATGTCATGGCTGAAAATAAAACATGACAAATATTAAACTCAAGTAGGTACTTTAAAAACCTTGCTCAAATGATATTATTTTGTTTAGAAATTAATATGATGTAAAAGTGATAAAAAAGATGCTTATAAACCCAAAGACCACCATTTATATAATTACTGGGTACAAACATCTTGCAAACCCTTAGGGCCACTGACTAAAACAATGTACTGTTTGTTATCATTTCATTCAGTAGGATGCAGAGTGCTTCAGGACTTATTAACTGTCCATGTGTCTGTGTATATGTTTGTGTGTGTGTGTGTGTGTGTGTGTGTGTGTGTGTGTGTGTGTGTGTGTGTGCATGCAGGTAAAAATGTACATGTGTGTCTTGGTGTATATATATGCGCAAATGTTTGTGAGTGTGTTTGCGAACATGGGGGTGTGGGCCTGTATGCATTATGTGCACATGTGTATGTGTTCGTATATGTGTATGTGAGTGAATGTACGTTTGTCTGGTTAATTGAAAAAAGATAATAACATCCATTAATGCTCATTGTAAATTGTAACACGAAGGGTACGTTCTTGTTTTAGTAAGAGTTTTACGGAACTTGCAGCACAATCAGGCCATATAAGTGCCAAAGATTAGAGGTGTTACTAGAAAGGAGGAGGGATAATGACAATAAATGTCTGATAGGAAAGATGGGGCACACTACAACAGAGTACCTGCCAACCATCCACACAGGCAGGGTAAAGAATGAAGTGTCCAAGCACACCACATAAAAACTACAGTGCTGAGAAAGTGTATACATAATCTAACAATTGCATTCAATACTGTACAAACAGCCACTTTCCATTTCCTCCCTTGCATATCCTGTACACTATAATGACACAGTATGAGACAGCCACCTGCTTTATACGGCCACTTTTCTTCTCGACAACGGGTGGCCATCTTAGACAAGGTTCGTTTTTATATTCAAAGAGATCAAATGAAAGCAGGGAGAAATATCTGATACATATCTGGCAACGTGGAGCTCCATTTCTCATAGACCTTTCAACAAACAGTGAAAAAGAACAATGTTGCTTATGAACAGTAGTTTAAAAAAAAAAAGTGAGCATTCCAATTAAAATGAGCTGGGAGTGGCATTTCCAGGAGGGTTTGCAGTGAGGCGTAACCAAGTTCTCCGCTTGGCTTAAGCTCAGAAAGCAATCGACTCGCCCAAAAATTAAAAGCTTGCTTACACAGAACCAAACTCAAGTTGGTGATGAAATTGATAAGCACATAATGATTCGGGAGGAAGGGGCTCAATAGCACAATAGGTATGGTATTTGCTTGTCAACCTGGAGGCCTTGGGTTCGATCTCCACCAGTGTTGGACTATCTTTTAAGTGTTATTCTACACCCATTATTCCTTGGGCGGGTAGGATCGAGCACACTGTCTTCTCGAGTAAGAAATGACAAATTTCAGACACCCCCCATAAAAGCTTCACAAATTTGAGATACCTTGGCAGTTCTAACATTGCAAAGAATAGACCCTATGGGCCACTGTCTTGTAAAAAAGTTAGAACTAATTTCTACCCAAAAACTCTAGTCCGTTGAAAAATTAAGAGTAACTTAAAAACTGACAAGTAACTGCCAGTCAGGCAAAGGATAATCCTACATTCTGAGAAATGTAAGTATATAAAAATCAGCTGCTGTGTGAGATGGAGACCCTATATTCAATTACTCCCTGAGCTCTAGCAGAGGTATGGGAAGAAAGACTTATTGATTAATTTTAACAACAGTGTAATTGTTGCTTCAAAATAATATTCTAACTTTTGCAAATCAAAATGAGAGGAAGGTAAGGGGAGAAAGAGGGAGAGGGAGAGAGAGGGAGAGAGAGAGATGGAGAGAGAACGAGAGCGAACGTGGTAGAAAAAAAAGAAAGTGTGTGTGAGAGAGAGAGAGAGAGAGAGAGAAAGAGAGAGAGAGAAAGAGAGAGAGAGAGAGAGAGAGAGAGAGAGAGAGAGAGAGAGAGAGAGAGAGAGAGAGAGAGAGAGAGAGAGAGAGAGAGAGAGAGACTCACCGATATATTGGCTGCTGAAAGTACGGAGACTGATCATTAATGTCTGAGAGGGTAACTGTGACGGTGTGATTGGTAGAAAGGGGAGGAACTCCTTGATCATATGCCTCCACGATGAAGCTCATAGTTTCAGTTGTCTCCCTGCAGAAAAGAATGTTGGATCACATTAATTTCTTACGATTTACTGTACTGTCACAGTTGCGGTAGTGGTGAGCCAGCATGCATGCTAATTCAGTTATCTTTCGAAGCAAGCCCCCAAAATGTTGACGTACATTTAAAGCACCTTTAACTTAATGACAACCTCTATTGGGAACGAAGAAATTTTCAAAAGTCTGTTAAAAAATACAGGAAATCCGAATTCTTTTGGCCTCCACATATTGTCCATTGTGTTCTGAAACAACCCTGAAACTTCATGGACACGTAAGTAACTGAAAACACAGTGACTTTTAAAGAATAGGCTACATTTCAAGCTGCTGATCCACATGGACAAGCAGTGCTAAAAATAGGTAGTATACAGTGAGTGAAAAAGTCAGAGTACCTCTAAAAATGGCTTACGGCTGAATGATAGATATCGAACGAATATCTTGCAAACATTTTAGTCTCAACTTTGTCTGAGCTGACTTCAATATTTCTCTGCAGTAAAAGAGTTTGTTGGAGCTTTTATGTACATTTGAAATTTTAAACCAAAAGCTTGGGCCTGTTCCCACAAACTCACCTGTCAAGATTTACAGGATCTGTATTTGTCAGCACATTTCCGTTTTCTGCAATGATTCTGAAGTAACTTGCAATGGTAGAATTGGGCTGCTGGGGCGCCATTCTGTAATGTACCGTTCCATTGAGACCAGCATCTGGGTCCCTGGCCACGATCGTAAAGACCGGGGCTGAAAAAAAGCATAACAATATAAATAATAGGAGGCCGAGGTCCACCTGGGAGAGAGATCTAGAGGCATACCAGCCTCAGCCATATTGTTTGTTTTAGTAGAGGTTTTACGGCGCTCACAACTGCATAAGGTCATATGAGCGCCAAGGGGTGGACGTTAACAGAGAAGTCCTTATAGGGAATCAGACTTACTCTGCTCTCCTCTCTAGCTTCGACAGCACAAAGTCTGCTTCAACTATCAAGGCACCCCGGAAAAAGCGGGTCACAAAGAGTGTGACAAACATACAAAAGAATACAGGAAAAATGATGATAGTAAGGATTAGGAAAGAAAAAGCAGTAGTTCCCTGTTGGAGTTCAGGCACAGTTATGAGCGTGACATTGTTGAATCAGCCCATTTACAATTCTACTGTGTGTAAGAACGAGAAATGTTCTCCCTTTGGGAATGGCCTAAAGACACTTCAGTCAGTAACACCGGGGGCGGGGGGGTGTTCAGACATATGGGGCATGGACAGCTGGATGGAACATAGATGAGGAGCCCTTCTAGGTGGCCTATACCCAAATACAAGGGTGAAAAAAGCGAATGATGATGATGAAATAATGACTGTATTTTATAAAGTGTACAACCCAAAAGAGATTGCTCACCACAAAATTTTTCGCTTGCAAGTGACAAAGTCTAATGAAAACAGAAAATTTTAATTCTGCAAATTAAAATGCAAAGATGATGTGTAAATCAAAAAGCATGAAATTAAAATCAATTCTGCCATATCGGCAGCATGCTCTGTGCACTTTACAGCTATCATTGAATGACGTAGGAGCACATGACCTGAACACAATCACCAAAATCCATTGACATGGGTGCAAAGTTTTCACGTCTAATTCAAAACATTTTCAACACTTCAGGAGCTATCATTTTGGGGGAAATGGAACTGTCAATCCAATGCAAATCTTAAAAAGGAGATAAAAGTCACACAAAATTACTGTTTTAAAAAAGGAGAAAAATTTGCGGGTTAATGAAAACTAGGGTTATGTCCTGAAATGAGTGTGGACAAAAATTCTTCAAGATGCAAAAACAATTGGGAAATCATCAAACAGGACTCGACTTGCTCCAAACTGGGACTAAAAACCAATGTAAGTAAACAAGATTGAGAAAAGTGATACGACAAAAACATTGTGTCCCTTCCCCCCCCCCCCCCACCCCCTCCCCCCTCTTTTTCTCTCTCTCTCTCTCTCTCTCTGTCTCTCTGTCTCACTCCCTCCACCCCAAAGAATCTGTTTTTTTCCTTGCTACCCCAATTCAACCCCTTCTACCCCCCACCTCATCCAAATTCCCCCTGCACCCATGAAAAAAGCTCTTTATACTTACTGTTCAACGCAGCATGTTCATTGACCTTCCCTGATGTGTAAGCCTCATCAAATGTGGGACTATTGTCGTTAATGTCGCCTGGAGTGACTTTAACTGTTGTATAGCCCAGATTGGGGTTCTGGCGTTCATCTTCTGCGATGGCATTAAAGGAGAAGGTTGGGTTATTGTTTAGTGGGTCCTCTCGGTCCAAGGGTCCAATGAGGAAAATTTCCCCTGTAACCTCATCAATTGTGAATCGCTGGTTTATACCAGACGTCAACGAGCCTGACAGCTTGTAGCGGATGTCCGTCTCACTCCGTTTATCAGCATCTTTTGCACTTACCTGTCAGGAAGAGACATTTTTTTAGTTTAAGTAAGAGTTTTATGGCACTTGCAACACAATTAAGTCATATATGTGCCAAAGATCAGAGGTGTTACTAGAGAGTAACATAAAAATAATAAAAAGGAGGACAGATAAGGCCAACCACCCACAGTCGTTGAGAGAGAATGCTGAGTGTATAGTAGGCGGCCAATATCATTAACACAATTTGTACCCTTCCACAGTTATCTTTATTATTATCTATCAAATCTGTTACTGTTATTTCTTTAAGTTTTTTCATCCCATACTATTCAAACAATCCAAATGCTCACCACAGAATCTTTCACATGCAAGTGACAAGTCTTGATGAACACTGACAAATTTTCATTCAGTTAAAAAGAAAGCAACAAATGATACAATTTCCATGAAAAGCAGACAGAATCAAACTAAAATCAGTTCAGCCAAGAGAAAAGCAGGCAGCATAAAACTAAATCAGTTCAGCCTTGAGAAAACAGGTCTCATTAATGATTCTAAATCTAAATTTTATCGGAGGACTTAATAACCTTTCAATTCCTGCGCTACTGTTCTAAGACATTTTGTCCTTTCAAATAATTTCAAAGGATGCCTAAGGTACTATTCCTAAGAAATCAATGTACATTTATAAGTATGGCAAGGTATGAGTTCAACCCCTGCTATTATCAGTGAAAAGTCTATAACGAAACATAACCTCTGTATTCAATTTTCATCTTCAGTAGGACCAAGCCAAGAGATTGGAGAGCTTTGAAAATTCCTCAGACCTCAACTCAACCCACAAACATTGAGAAATAGTGCACAAGGAAGTGCGCTAAGAAGAAATTTGTTTGATGGACAGATGTTATCCTCCTCAAACTCTCCAAACAACCTGAGTTCATGAATGCCAACTTAGGGACTCAAACCAGGGCCATTCGCACAACAGTTCAGCACAATACTAACTGAGCTAGCAGTGTGCCCAAGAGCATGTTGAAAATAAAACGCACGCAGGCAGGCATAAAATTCAGGTCTCAAGTCAACAACCCAACAACGTCAAGTTAAAATTACAGAGTGAACTGACTGTGTTAACTAGATTAATGCTCACTTGTTCCCCCCCACCCCCACCCCCCTTATGACTATACCTCAACTGAACCCACAAACATTGAGAAATAGAGAACACAGAGAAGGTCTTACCGTTGTAAGATAAAATCTGTTGGAGCTACTGATGGAGTTGTCCTCCTCAATGAACGTTTCATAAACCATGTATTCTCGTTGGTCAAACACAGGTTTGTTGTCGTTCTCATCAATGACATTTATCTGCACCTGTGTTTGGTTCTCATGCCCGACCTCATCTCTGGCTATCAAGGTTAAATCATATTGCTGGGGGGGAAAAAAACAAAATGAAAAACAAAACACATCAGCTTTTTAAGAATAAAAAGGTCGTTTAAAAAAAAACATTTAACCAAATCTCCTTGTGTCACAGCACAAAATTAATAGAATAGGAAACTTTCAATCACTGTGCATCACCTTTTTTCTTACATACATGTTCTGTGACAGTTTGTTTGACATCTTTTGTAGAAAAGTCTGTGTCTTCGTGTGCTCAGGTGTGTGTGTGTGTGTGAGTGTGTGTGTGTGTGTGTGTGTGTGTGTGTGTGTGTGTGTGTGTGTGTGTGAGTGTGAGTGTGTGTGTGTGCCTGTGTGTGTGTGTTTGTGTGTGAGCATGTGTGTGTACTAGCGCTCTTGTGTGTGTGTGTGTGTGTGCATGCGTGTGTGTGTATGCGTGTGTGTCTGTGTGTGTGTGAGAGAGAGAGTGTCTGTGGTTTTATGTGCATAGGTGAATATGTATGAACATGTGAGTGGCAGATGGAGATAAAGATGATTTGAAAAAACATGTTCACTTATCAATTTTTTTCTTACATCTAAAGTGAACTGATGAATTTGGAAAGTAAGAGAGAAAAAATAAACAAAATACTGGGATACTAAAACAACACGAACAAAACAAATATGAACATGTTTCGATAAAAAAGTTACCGTTTCTGTCATGTTTCCACATTCACAAAGCACATATTGTTTAGTAACAAAATATACGAGTCACTTACAAAACCACAACACGAATATATATAATAAACTGTTGCAACAAACACGATTCACTGACCTTTGGTTCACTGGTTTTCTCATAGTCCAACCTTCTTGCAACTCTGATCTCACCAGAAATGGAAGTTGAAAAGGTCTGCAAAGTATTCCCGCTCGTGAAGAAATATTCAAGTCCTCTCACAATGTCAACTACAGGAGACAAAGAAGACAAAAAAGGGTGAAAATAATCATAGAAAAACTTTATTAACCCAACTGGCTTAGCTAATGGGGTCACAAGAAGAAAAACAATATGTGTGACAACGTGGTAGAATCAGGCGCTCCTCAATTTTTGGGCATCTGGAGTTATTGGTATCATTTAAAGCTTGTTCTTTTGACCATCTTTTGATGAAAAAATACATGTTTATCTTGAATAGAAGTCAAGATACTTGCAAATGAAGAAGGTTGGGGTCACCTGATTTCAAAAGTAAAATTAGTGAGAAATGACTGCCAAAGTTTGATGGTTTCCAGAGCTTGAGAGTCCTAGGAAACTGAAAATTTACATTTGTTGTGCATTCAATCAATATTTTTCCTTAAAATCCACACAAAAATATGTTTTTAAATGTTAAAAAAAAAAAGGTGTTGAGCAAAAAAAAAGGGAAAAAAATTGTCAAACTGGAAGAATAATGCTAATATCTTCGATTTCATTATTTTGACGAGCGCCTGATTTCACCATGATGTCTAACATATTGGGATGGATGACATGATTGACAGTGATACAAAAGAACTGATCTCAGTGAAAAAAAACGAAAGGTGAAGAGGATCAAGTTCATCAATTGGCAGCGACACTGAGAAAAAATATTTGTGGGAAAACAAGACTAAGATTTTTATCAGACGTTGTTGTAAATGAGTTTATGCATGTAAAGAGGCGTACATCAGCACAATAACAGTCATTTCGCTTTGAGAAAGAGATTCTGAAAGTTTCGTTTTGGTAAGAGTTTTACAGCATTTGCAACACAAATATGCCAAATTATAAAGGCCTAAGATTAGGGGTGTCACTGCAAAGTAACATATAAACTATAAAAAAAAGAGGAGAGATAAGGACGATAGATATTTGATAAGAAAGAAGGAGCAAACCACACCAGAGCACCCGCCAACCACCCACACAAGATATTTGCACACTTACTCTCATCAGGATCGTTAGCAACAACTTGACACACGACTTCATATACAGTGAGAAGCTCAGACGCATTACACTTGTACAGGGGTTTCTCAAACCGGGGACTGTTGTCATTGACATCTGTCAGGCTGACATGCACGACCCTAGACGTAGCTGAAATAAACCAAAAAAATTTGGAAAGAAATCAAAAAAAAAAAAGAAACTATAATAATAATAAAAATAACAAGCAATTACGCCAAGAAAAAAAAACAAAAAAACAAGCAATTATGCTATTTTCTAAAAAATGCTTGATACGCATTGCATTCAAAGAGATATCACATTTTGTTATGGCCCACATCATGGGCTATTTGCATCTAAAACAGAATAAAATTATACACATAACTGCTTTGCATTTTAAAAAATTAATAACGAAGGCGTTTTTTACACCCTTAAAGACACAATTTAGATCATTTGAGAGGCAAGCTTCGACCCTGACTGTCAGGGCCAACCCAGGCTGTGAAGAATACAATGTCTCAGAAGAAAGACCAACATACTCAATAAAACTTCCTGTGTAATATAAAGAATAAGAAGAGAAAAAATACAACAGCTACCAATCGGAATGAGATAAAACTTCACAGATTCGTTCCATGATCAACACAGAAACAAGCAGTCATTCTTACGTTCTCCTCCTTTCATACATCTCTCCTTCATTAGCACTTCGCTACCTTATAATTACAAAGTTCTATCTGCTCAGTACCTAGTTTTGAGAAATTTGGCGTAAAACATTTGTGAGGCAGCGGGGTGGAATCAGGCTCTCGTCAAAATAATCAAAGTGAAGAAACCTGCATTTTTTTGCAGGTTTGTGAATTTTTATCAAATTTTTTATTTTTGGCTCAACACCTTTCATGCCCATAAAGAACTCATTGCTGTGTGTTTTTTTCTGAAAAGCTTTGATTACATGCACAAAATGTAAATTTTCAGTTACCACAAACTCTTCAGCTAAGGAAATAACTAATCTTTGGCGGCCATTTTCTCACTAATTTTACCTCTGTAAACAGGTGACCCCCACCTCCTTCTTTCGCAAATATCTCAACTTGTATTCAAGATAAATGGATATTTTTTCATCCCAATAAAGACAAGTGAACAAACTTTAAGATGATACCAATAACTCCAAATGCCCAAAAATTGACGAGAGCCTGATTCCACCACGCTGCCTCACATTTATTTAAGTTTCATAACATGACACGCTTTTTTAAATGCGGTTCTTTGAACATTTCGATACCGACTCCAAACAATCTTATAATTTTGATACAGCAGACAGAACATTTGGTTTCTGACCTCGTGATATTAGAAACTCAAAAATTTCCAAAAACGTCAGCTAGAACTTTGTAATTCTAAGGTAATGACATCAGTGCAAAAATGGATGTCCCCTGAAAACAAAGTACTATTAACTAAGCATATATGCATGCTATTAAATGCTGGGCCCGGTTATTCAGTTATAGTATTAGCGAACAGTGAGGTAACACAACAGAGACTGCATTCCTTTTCAGTCATATTTGGACATTCAAACTACACAAAAGAAGTACAAGGACCAAATCACACCAAAGTATCCACAGACTATTATATTTTGTTTTAGTAGAGTAGAGGTTTTACGACGCTCGCAACTGCATAAGGTCCTATGAGCGCCGGAAGACTAGAGGTGTTACAAGAGAGTAACAAACATAAAAAAGAAGAAGGGGAGATAAGGACGATAGGTGTTAGATAGGAAAGAAGGAGCACAGACTATTATAGGCATATGTGATATGAAAAGGAGTTGTATAAACAAGGCAAGATGTTTCAATATTGTTGGATTACATCTTTACATATAAATCCACATTCAGTCCACATATAATTTTCACATGCCAGAGACAAACATGAGAGACATTTTAGACTGCTGAAGTTTAGAGTAGATAGGTAACTAGGAGTTTTATTCAGTGTTTAAGGACAAAGCCTCCCATCACATAAAATAAAACATACACATTTTTAGAGTCCATGAGACTTCCATGAAAACAGCATAAATAATAAATAACATACATTTTGAATTGAAGTTTAATGAGGAAAACTCAGAAAAAGCAGTTGCCAAAAATGTTGAATGATGTTGAATGACGAGAGGAAAAAATGTAAAGAAATCCTACCTTCATTTGGATTGTCAGGATGATTTGGGTCAAGTGGGTACGCTGCTGGAGCACCGTCTTTGGCAGTGACTGAGATGTCATAAGATGCCTGGGTCTCTCTATCAATAACATTAGCCAGGGCTTGGGTGGTTATGATTGTCGCTGTGTTGTCGTCATTGTTCACAATGTTGAATAATCCAGCTTCTTCCCCAGCCAGACCAAAGGTAATCTAGGAATGAAATACAAAAAGGAATAAACAGATCATTTTGTGCTTTTGAATTAACAAAAACATCATGAGGAAGAAAACCATAAAAATTGTTTAACCCTTTCAAAACATGTGAAGTACCACGTAAGGCATAAATCGTTGTTTTGTTTGGTATGGAGTTCTACGGTGCTCGAAACTTCATAAGGTCATATGAGCGCACGAAACACAAGTTAATTTTATTCGCAGTTCACTGTACGGCTGGACACGGGTCAGTAGTTTGATCTTAAAATGTTAAAATATTTAAAATTCGGTGTAAATATATATTTTCAATCCAAAACAACTTTCCTAAATAACATACACATTTTTAATAATTCAATTTCACTCTATAATTTCCCATAAAGGCCAATGGCCTTCATAAAATCCCAAATTCCGTTTGGATCAATGACAGAAAAAAAAGTCTTGCAATTTTTTTCATTTAAAGTATTTCCTTTGGGTCTCTCCGAAGTCTAGACATTTGGTTAAATAAATCGAATCACTGAGTCACTGGGTGATCTTAAGACATATACCATATTCAATCAGCTGATTTTAACAATGCCCAGGACTTTATGACAAATGATGTACGTCATAATCAAAGTTCGTAAGGGGCCATTGCCAGCAACTGTAGTCTGAAATAGACAGCAGATTTGAAATCTGTGATGTCGAAAATGTACAAATAGACCCTAACTCTATGATTTCAAGGGAATTTTAGGTCTTATTTAGTCTCGTCTGTTCCTTCATGTTGTGAGTTTATGAAAGTTAGCAATTTATTTGGTGTTCATAATCCAAAACTTTTTTTGCTTTGTTTCTAATCCGTTAGATAGCTTGTCCTTTCACATAATATATAATAGGTTATAACTTGTATATCTTATAATTAACTCTTTCAACACCGGGGGTGTTTTCCTCCCCTGGACCGGGCCCTATCAGTGACCTATTTTCTGATTCTTAAACAGCCATATCCAGTCTTGAAAAAAACTTTGTGTTGCGAAAAGGGTTAATAGTTCAAAAGCAAGCATTGGCATTATAGCACCTGACATATTCCCATATGGTCACATTGTCATCTTATCCTGACACATAACAACATACAAGAGGAAATCAAAAGGACCGGAAAGTAATCCCAGAAGAAGCCTAGTTTTTATTTACTTCAGTTCAGTGCCCTACAAGACACAACGAAGGTCATGTAGAGGGCAGACAACAAGCTACTGAGCTGGGGTTGGGGCTAAACCATATCTAAGCATGAAGACCTCCGTGGCAAAATGCACTATATCCATAACTACAAAACTGAAAAAAATGAAAAATAACAGTTTTCTGAAAACAAAAGTATGAATGAAACGTAATTTGGTATTATATATTGAGGGATACAGAGCATTTTGAGAAGAAAAAAAATATTGTCACTACAATTCTCGTCTCAAGATTATGAAGTAGATGGGGTTTCCCAGAAATGTTCAGATTTGGCATAAAGTATGTTTTACAATGACAACTTTCACATAGATAGTAGATAGCTGTTGCCTCTATAAATAAACTATTAATGGTTCAGTTCGATTCCCCTACTAGAACACCAAGCAGAGAGAAAGAAATCTGTACGTAGGCCAGGTTCATAACCAACTCAATAGAGAAGAAAGGTCATGTGGGACAGAAATAGAATTCACAATTCATCTGATGGTATAGTGGTGTGAAATCTTTGTACAGAACCAACTCAAGAAGAGAAGAAAGGTCACCATGTGTGAAAGAAGTAGAGCTCATCTTATGGCGTAGTAGTGTGAGTAGCAGAACTCACCTGACAGTAAAGCGGTGAGAAATCTTTGTACATATAACCAACTCAAGAGAAGGAAAGGTAAAGAGAAGAAAAGGTCAAGAGAAGAAAGGTCATCATGTGTAAAAAAAGAGGAACTCATTTGACGGTATACGGTATAGTGGTGTGAGAAGTAGAACTCACCTGACAGCATAGTGGTGAGAAATCTTTGTACATATAACCAACTCAAGAGAAGGAAAGGTAAAGAGAAGAAAGGTCACCATGTGTGAAAGAAGTAGAACTCATTTGACGGTATATGGGTATAGTAGGGTGAGAAATAGAACTCACCTGACAGTATTGTGGTGAGAAATCTTTGTAATATAACCAACTCAAGAGAAGAAAGGTAACCATGTGTACAAGAAGGTAGAAACCATTAGACGGTATACTGTACCGAGGTGTGAGAAGTAGAACTCACCTTCTTGAATAGTGGTGTCTCATCTTTGTCTTCTGCCGAGACTCTGACCACAGTAGACCCTGCTGGGGCATCTTCAGGGATACTTCCTTCATAGCAGCAGCCACTGAGTCCTTTGAAGACTGGTGTCTGGTCGTTCTCATCTATCACGGATATCTTTGCCAACAGGTTAACCTGCTCACTGAATTCACCAGTGTTCTAGAAGTGGGAAATAAGAAAGGGAAAAAAAAAACAACTTGTTACCTAGAAGCAAATATTTTTCATAGAATGGAAAAGATATTTCCGGCTTTCAGAACTTTTGAATTTTAACAGGGCTCGCCATATAACTATGTCAAGATAACTGTTCCCAACACAAAAGGGTCGGGATAATATATAAAGCTTGATCACACACCTCTGCTATCAATGCAGTTTGTTTAACCCCCTCCTTACAACAATAAAGCTTCAGCCAGTGCGTTACTTTACTGTGGTGCTCTAATTGAAAGGAGAAAATAGTCAAAATTGTCCAAGATGGCCACCCATTGTCTCGGAGAAAGGTGATCATTTTAGACAGGCGGACGTCTTGGACAGTGTCATCATAACGTAGAAAAAAACACAAGGGGGCAAGTGGGTAGTGGCTATTTCCATAGATGATCGCCTCAGACAGGTGTAGTAATTATGCAAGGAAAACCCTAGAGAGCTTTTGTTTTAATAAAGGTTTCACGGCGCTCGCAACTGCATAAGGTCATATGAGCGCCAGAAGAATAGAGGTGTTACAAGAGAGTAACAAACATAAAAAAGAAGAAGGGGAGATAAGGATGATAGATGTTTGATAGGTAAGAAGAAGCAAACCACACCAGAGCACCCGCCAACCACCCACTCTAGAGAGCTTTATAAAAGTGTGAACAGCAAGAGGGTAAGGAAAGACCCATACAACCCGACATGCATAAACGATAAAGAGGGTAATGCCATTAAGAAAAGATGGGAAAATTACTTTCAAGAACTACTCAATCCAGATACTTGCTACGGACAAAAAGAAGAGTTCCAACCATCATATGGAGAGCAAAGAGAACTACCCATACTTCTAAATAAAATCGAAAAGGCACTCAAAACCAGCCCCAAGAACAAAACCCCAGGACCAGATGACGTCACAGTGGAAGCCATAAGAGCTTGTGGAAACACCGGTGTACAGTGGCTGAGGCGAATTTTCAATAGTTTTAGTTTTAGTAAGCGTTTTACGGCACTTGCAACACAATAAGGTCATATAAGTGCCGAAGATTAGAGGTGTTACAGGAGAGTAACCAACACAAAAAAAAAGGGGGGGAGATAAGGATGATAGGTGTTTGATAGGAAAGAAGGAACAAACCACATAAGAGCACCCGCCAACCACTCACGAATTTTCAATAGAGCCTGGGAGTAAAGGAAAAGCCCAGAGGACTGGCAGAAAGCAATAGTGGTCCAATTATGGAAAAAGAAAGGTAACAAACACGACTGCACAATGTACAGAGGCGTCTCTTTGTTAAGCCATGCAGAGAAAACATACGTGAAAAATTAAAACAGAGTATAAGACCTATTGTAGAGAAAAATCTGAGCAAAGCTCAGTTTGGTTTCTGAAAGGGAAGAGGATGCACAGATGCTGTATTTGCATTATGACAGATATGCAAGAAAACAATCAAACACAAAAAAGAATCTAACATTGTTTTTATAGACCAGTAGAAGGGTTTGATAGTGTAAACCATGCAAAACTCTGGAAGACACGAGAAAAATATGGCGTCAGAGGACAAATATTAGATAATGTCAGAGCTCTATATACCAACAGCAGAAGCTCAGTAAGAACGAAGGAATGCAATACAGACTGGTTCAAAGTAAGATCTGGAGAATGACAGGGATGCATTGTATTTCCCCTCCTGTTCATAATATATATGGACACAATAAAGCAAGACGCAAACCAAAGCCCCAAAATCCTAAATGAACTTCTATTTGCGGACGACGGAAGTCTTATTTATCCAAAACAACAAAACCTTCAAAATCATACTACCAAACTGTACAACAGCTGCGAGAAATTTAACGTGAAAATAAGCACATCAAACACAGAGGTTATGAAAGTGAGCTGAAACCGTAGTCTCCTGAATATTCATATCAATAGTAAACAACTGAAACAGGGGAAGGAGTTTAAATATCTTGGAAGCAGTTTTTCTGAAAACGGGTCCATAGACAGAGAAATTGAAATGCAAACTCAAAAAGCAAACATTGCAGTCACCTACCAGCTCGCACCTCTCCTATCTCATCCAAACATCTCCATATACACAAAGAGACAGCTTATCACATCAATATTCATACCAACATTATGCTACCTGTGCCAGACCTGGACATTAATTAAGTAAAACCCATGAAAGCAAAATCACTGCAAGCGAAATAAAATGTCTCTGCAAAACCCTTAACATCACAAGACAGGACAGGCAGAAAAATGAAGAAGTAAGAGCAGCTATCGGCACCGAGTCCTGCCTGCATTACATAGAAAGACAGACAATAAAATGGTTTGACCACCTGTTACCTATGTAACCTGGCCAGCCAGCCTCGAGAGCCTACAACACCAAGGACTCAGGCTATACATGAAGAGGAAGGCTGCGCAAAAGGTGGATTGAGGGTGTCAAGGAAACCCTAAGAAAACATAATGTCAAAACGGAAAGAGTTGCAGAGCTGGCCTACCATAGAAGTTGCTTCTCCCCTTGACACTTAACAAAAACAGAGGATGAAAAAGTAAATATTAAAGTAATTAGAATAACATTGACTGTATGCACATGCACTGGCCATATCCTGTACGGATGAGGCTACTATGAACTCAAAGCTGTTTTCCAACTGAGATTGTATATCCACACATATATATTGCATATGTGAGGGATTGTGGTAAAATTGGGCGCTCGTCAAAATAATTTTTTTTTAAACGAAGAAATTGACATTTTTCCACCCGTTCAGCAATTTCTAATTTTTTCGTTGTGTGTTTTGGGCTTAACACGTTTTATATTTCATGTTCACTCAAAAACACATCGCTTCATGGACTTCACAGAAAAAAATATTTGTAGTTTCCAAGACCATTATTTTACCTCTGACATCCGGCAACCTTCACCTCCTTTATTTGCTTTCAGATTACACTAATAACTTCATATCATGTCCAAAAATTGACGAGCACCTGATTTTACCACATCGTGACATATATATTATGTACACAGAACAAGGATGTGTCATACATTTGGAATGTATGTGTCTAGGTTTGGTGGGTAGGATAGAGATGGCAGGTACGGTAGGTATAGTATGGTATGGTGTTTTACCTTAGTATGTAAACATGTACTGCTTAAGCATGTAGGTTCATTAGTATGTATGTACATGTATATACGTATGTATATTACATGTGCCTGTGTGTGTGTGTGTGTGGGAGTGCATGCGTGTGTGCATACATGCGAGCATGTGTGTGTGTGTGTGTGTGTGTGTGTGTGTGTGTGTGTGTGTGTGTGTGTGTGCGTGTGCGTGCGCGTGTGTGCATCTATGCATGCGTGTGTATATGCTAGATATAGATGTAGGTAAATATCTTGGGTTGATCTGTCTGTATGCACTTATGTATATCCATCTGTTTTTCTGTCGCAAGATTGGTAGAGAGGTAGTTGGATAGACATACTAATGATGTGTATGCCATTTGCTGAAGTTCTTATAAACAGTTAAATACCAAAGCAACTATCTTGTATGGTTCTTCTTCAAAGAATACACCCAGAATAAAAATGTAATGTAGCTTATCCCCCAAAAAATTACTTTAAAACACACACACATTGAAGTCCTCACCCTGCAGACAATATTTATTCTATGTTCTTTGCTCTCTAAGAAGTCCAGCTTCTTGAGCAGTGTGAGATTCATGAACTGGTGACCATCTGCTTCAAACTTTCTGTAGCTGAAGAATTCGGATGAAAAGCTGATATCCGATGCTGAATCAAAGATGATGAAGTCAACAGCAGGACGGGACGGTATGTTGGAATCACAGCGAAGTTGGGCGATCACGTATCCAATACCTTCAGTCTCCTTCACATTGAAATTTTCTTGATCCTGTACTCCGATCCACCTGGCAGTAACAGACAGAATAGCATGTATATCATTGCTGGATGAACAAAAGAATGTAGTAGTTAAGTATTAGTGAGAGGTTTTTCTTATAGATTTAGTAGTTTTTTAGTACGGCGTTCACAACTGCATATAAGGTCATATGAGCGCCAAAGGGTGGATGTGTACAAAGAAGTCCTTACAGGGAATCAGGCTTACTCTGCTCACCTCTCTAGCTTCAACAGTACAAAATCTGCTTTAACTATCAAGGCAGCATGGAAATAGCGGGTCACAAGAGAGTGACAAACATACAAAAGAAGTAGAGGAAAATGACGATAGTAAGGATTAGGTAAGAAAAAGCAGCAGTTCCCTCTTGCAGTTCAGGCACAGTTATGAGCATGACAATGATGAATCAGCCCATTACAATTCTACTGTGCATAAAGACATGTTAATGTCCCCCCTTTGGGAATGGCCTAAAGACCCTTCAATCAGTACTACTGCGCTCGGGGGGGGGGGGGGGGGGGTAGTGAGAGTTTTATGGCACTTGCAACCAGATCATATTTGTGCTGAAGACTAGAAGTATTACGATAACCTAACACACAAACAAAAAGAAGGAGGAAAGATAAGGATGATAGATGTCTGATAGGAAACAAGGAGCAAACCACACCAGAGCCAACTTCTTTTTCCATAATTGGACCACTATTGCTTTCTGCCAATCACTCACAAAGAATATAGTAAATGTGCAAAGTTTTTCTTTCTTCCACCAGAAACAGAAACAAAGGGACACTAGTACTGAAACAGAAAGCAGAAGAAAATGCAAGTCACTATACACACAAGACCAGATTCATTAATTAACATATGAATGGCTTGCATCTCAAACCCAGTCACCCCGTATCATGTCAGCTTCACCCACGGAATATCAACTGAGAACTTGGGATTTTTCTTGGGTTTTTTCCATCCTTGATCCTGAGGTAGATCAGTTTTTTTTGTTAGTTTTAGTTTGAGTGGCCTTGCTAATCTAATGGTTTGGCTACAAGACTCATAATGGTGAGACTATGGATTCCGGAGGTCAAGGCACAGCTCAGTCTCACAATGTGACCTTGGGAAAATCACTTTGCATTAATTTTCCCTTAATTTTCCCTTTCCCATTCAGCTCAGTCGTATCGGAGATAACTAGCCTGACAGTGTAGCAAGAAGCGTTAAACATATACCACTTCAATTTTTTTTTTCACTTAAGGAATTTTTGGCATCTCTTGTCATGTCACTTTCACACATTAACAAAAAGTACAGAGACAACAAAACAAAACAGCAAAGAAAAACCATACCAATTTTAGTGAGAGTTTTTAGTTTAGTTTTAGTAAGAGTGTTACGGACCTTGCAACACAATAAGGTCATATAAGTGCTGAAGATTAGAGCTGTTACAAAAGAGAAACAAACATAAAAAATAAAGAGGAGAGATAAAGACGATAGTTGTTCGATAGGAAAGATGGAGAAAACCACACCAGAGCATCCACCAACCACCCACAAAAAAAGGATAAAACTGTATTCTATCACACACCACTGGTCAAACACTGTGGGAAACTGCGGGTAAAAAAATACTCTAATGTTACTAACTTATAGACACGCAAAGTTAATACTAAATAAAAGAGAAAATCTCTGAGTAAAACACAACGTAAAAATTAAAATTTGTAGATTAAAAATGACTGTGTAATTCTTCAGGCTGAAGGGTGAGAGTTGTACAGCACTTGCAATATAAATAGGTTATGTAAGTGCCAAAGACTAGAGGTGTTACAAGAGAGTAAGATACATAGAAAGAAGGAGGAGAGATGAGGATGACAAATTCTGACAGGAAAGAAGGAGCAAACAACACCAGAGAACAAGCCAAACACCCACAAAACTTGTTTAAATATTTTTCTTTATCTTCAAATAAGAACCAGTAGTGCAACCCAAGCTCATTTTTGTTTTAGTAGGAGTTTTATGGCACTTGTAATATAATAACGTCATACAAGCGCAGAAGATTAGAGGTGATAAAAGAGTATAACAAACACAAAAAAGAAGGAGGAGAGATAAAGACAATAGCTGTTTGATAGGAAAGAAGGAAGCAAACCGCACCAGAGAACCCGCCAAACATACACAAAACCTGTTTAAATATTTTTCTTTTATCTCCAAATAGAAATCAGTACTGCAACCCAAACTCATTTTTATGCGATCTTGAATTCCCCAATGAGAAAAAAAAGAACCGGTATACGATTTTGAATTCCCCAATGAGAAAGAAGAGAAACCGTATAAACTTACTGAGGACGAGTACTGGTAGCCCTGTTGATGTTTATGTTCACAGTTGTGTTGCTAGTCAAGGACCCGGGATCAATGCCGTTATCATCCGCAATGACAACAATGACATACCGGTCAATCTGTGCATGCATAGGAAACAACAGAAGGTGTCAGCACCAACTTTTCAAAAATCACAAAAACACACTTTCAATGTACTTTTAGCCCATGGCTTATTGTTCCTTAAATATACTGATGTTTCTTCAAGGTATATTAATGATAAAACCAACATCAAAGAGACAAAACCTGAACTATTCCTAAAGAAAAAACAATAAACACAGCAATTTTACATCATTCTCTATGTTGATCACAGGCACCAACACTTTACTTTAAATCAACTCAATTAGTGCTATCGATGAGAGTTCTTGCAAAACGCTTACTCAAATTTGGCACCAATATCAACCCATATTTTGGAGTACAGTATATAATATGAGGTGTATACTTTAAGAACTCATTTTTAGGAAAAACTCACAAGTATTATAAGTGAGCATATACAGTGAATCTTAGAGTTCTTCAAAGTGAATACAGACAACTGAAACGGAAACACAAACCTGTCACTGATGTGTAAACGACAAAAACTCTGAATTTGAGGGTAAAAAGAACAAAGGTGATTGAACTTTTCACCTTGTTCATGAAATGTTTCCTTCTCAGTATGAGTGCCGCCAAGCCACTCAGAACGCCCTATTTTGAAAGGACATGTTGAGTTTTGTATGTTTAACTTTACAGAACTAAAATCAGTTACAAAATCTAAAGCATTAAGTGAAATAATTAGAAAACAAATGCAACGACTCACAGTTTCATCCAGTCTTTTATTCACAGACAACACTCCTGTGAAACCATTGATATGGAAGTAACCGTCACTATTGGAACTGCTTGCTATTGAGTATGTGATGTTTGCATTAACTCCTACATCCTCATCAGTGGCCTCCATTTGTCGCACAAACTGTAAAAGAGAGAACCAAAACAGGGTTACTCACACAAAAATCTACACAACAAGAAGGCACAAATACACACTTCAAAGTCAACTTACTTTTTTCCTTTGATTTTGAATCAACATACATTGTTCACTGTATAAAAGGTTTAATGCTCTTTTCAACACTGTGAGGTTACTTAAAAGGTGGGACCTCAGAATTAAATGTCAGTCTCTGATAGGACTGATCTAAATGGAGCCAAATGAGCCGTAAAAACACCTTGAAACAACCCTAGTTCTAATGCCCAGTTGGGAATTCAAACCCATGGCCATCCTCTCCATAGTCCAATATAATATCAACTGAGCTAACCGTGCGCCTAAATCAATTTTCTTTTCCTATGCTGTTTCTCTCAATCAAACTTGAAATCATCTACATCTTTCCAAAGTTAAAGTATGCACATGGCAAAGCAGAGCATTTCCACACACCATTTCCTGCTCATTATCCATCACAACACACCCTGTTCCCTCTATGCACAAATAAATGTCACAACAACTAGTACCATAAAACATCAAAAGTCAATGCAAACAGGCTCAGGGTATTTATTGTAATCAGCAAAAATAGAGAGATATTTTATTACAGTATTTTTAGAAAGATGTCACTCCCCTAGAAATCATTAAGATATCTGAATAATACTTAATACTAATACAGTTCCACATGCCAGACAGCACCCCAATTTTAAAAATTGAACATAATTCAACTAATTGGGGTAAACTTTCTAAATAATTAGGGTGGTATTATATCTAAATCAAATGTAGACTATATTCTGGAGTACCTTTGACCATGCAATGAAAATGTAGACCTTTTATAGGTGACAAAATTTTTGACAATCCGGCAAGACCTTATTGCGTGCACTAAACCACATCCTGAATCTTACGAGTCTGTGGCAATTCAATCCAAAGGACATGTGCTTTCTACTCACATAATTGACGGTTGCTGTCACAGGGATGTCCACACTGAACTCATTCTGGCTAAACCTTGGAGCATGATCATTGATATCTTCAATGGTGACACGGAAGGTACACCAGCCTTCCATCAAGGGAACATCACTGGGATTTCGGCCAGCCACAGTAACCTGATGTATTTGGAAAAAGAAATTCATAGTGTGTCTGGGCTCATACCTGTACTTTAAATTCACAACAACAACAAAAAAGAAGATCTGAAAATTCTTTTCATTTACAAAAAGGTTGTTTGTAATATTTTTTTTAAAGTGACAATACCTATTGTTACACTTATTTTAATTAGTGCCGTTAGGGAAAAGAACATTAAATTCTTGGATTGCATAATGTCATAATTTGAGAAGGTTTCTGGAAAAAACACAAGACTTGTACTAATGATATCTGGAACCCTCACTCTTACGTATTTTCTGAGATCACTCTGGACACACCTGAGCCAAATGGAGGGCGGGGAGGTGGGGGGGGGGGGAAGCAGTGTGCACTATAATTGGTGTTCTCCACTGCTTCCAGCATGTGTACACTTCAAATTTTAGTGGAAAAAATAATTGCTTTCTTTTTAATTTTGTTTTCATCATAAAGAAAAAAAAACCCAGGAAATTATTTTGGGTCTTTTTCTGATCTGTCTGAGAGAAAAAATCAGTCTCCAGAACCCCAGTAGATTAACATCAAGTTACAAACAGAAAGAAGCACATAAATGTGTATAGTAAATACACGCAAATAAACACCATTAAAAATTTGTATTTTATGTCATTTACAACATTTTGCAAGAAATTTTTAAAAAATAAACCAGAGTATTTTAATGAAATTTATGATAAGTTGCATACGACTGAGAGATACAGAGTTTGAGAAACTGAAAAAATTAGATTTTATGCAAATCCAATTGTGGCCCTTCAACAGGCAAAAACAAACAAACTGGGAAGCTCCAATTTGTAGGAGTTTGGCAGGTCTATTATTCCCTAATTGCTGCTGTTGTAGACAGTAGACAGTAGAGCCAATAATTATTAATATAATTATTATAACAATAACTATAATAAAGATAATGATAAAAATAATAATACAATAATAATGAGTATAACATTAATAATATTATTATTATTATTATTATTGATTAATTATTATAAATTATAGCAGCAGCATTGTATTGTAGTTGTGTATTTCTCTACAAGGGTCAGAATTGGAAGAAAAAAAGGGAAAAAAAAGACAAAAAGGAAACCAAAAAGAAGAAGATTCTGAATATACTTTTATCAAAAAGGTGGTAAAAAAGACAGCAGCCTATAACTACATAAACCACACACATATCCAAATATAGTGATCAAACCTGCAAATAGCCATCGCCTCTGTGAAACCTGTTTTTAACAGTTATCTGACCAGTACTGCTGTTGATTTCAAAGGGGGCATTGACTCCATTGGGATCAGGGGATACTATACGATATATCACGCGGCCATTTTCCCCTCGGTCAGAATCAGTTGCCTGAACCTGAAAACAGTAAAATGACAGTTGAATTCCAGCACAAAATTACTTGCTCTCCATCTTCTGTTACTCTTTTCAAAAATAACTATGCGTGGAGCAGCCAGGTGAAATCAGGTGCTCATCAAAATAAGGAAATTGAAGAAACTGGCATTTTTCTGCCGGTTTGGTAATTTCTATAGATTTTTTTTGTTTCTGGCACAACACCTTCTCTGCCCATTTAAGAACATATTTCAGTGTGGATTTAACTATTTAAAAAATTGATTAAAGGCACACAAAAAAGTAAATGTTCATTTTCCACAGCTATAGAAATGATCAAACTTTGGCAGCCATTTCTCAATAATTTTGCACCTGAAATAAGGTGACCCCTACCTCCTTCAATCGCAAATGTCTCGACTTGTAATAAAGATATTTTGGTTGTTTTCTTTAAGTCAAAACCAAGATAAATTAACAAGCTTTAAAATTATGCCAATAACTCCACATGCCCAGATATCGACAAGCGCTTGATTCCACAACGTCGTGACACATATTGTTAAATCTAACTTCATCAATGAAGCTGCCGTTCAAGAAAGGTGCTCACTCACCAATGCTTTTGACAGGTTCAATGTATTTTTCAAGTTATTTTTGCGCTCATTATATGACCTTATGCAGTTGCGAGCGCAGTAAAACCCTACTAAAACAAACAAACAAGTTATTTACTTAACTCATCAACTAAATTTCTTTTTATTTATTATCTTGATAAACTAGAGCCATGGCATTTTAGCAAGAGTTTTACGGCACTTGCAGCACAAATAAGTTATATAAGTGCCGAAGATTAGAGGTCTTACTAGAGAGCAGCATACAAAGAAAAGGAGGAGATATATGGAAGAAAGATATTTGATAGGAAAGAAGGAGCAAACCATACCAGAGCACCCATCAACCATCCACACAAGCCATGGTTTTTTCGTTTTGTAAAGTGTTTTACGGCGCTCGCAACTGCATAAGGTCATATGAGCGCGCGGGACACACCTAATATTTTCAGTTGGTAGGAAATTTTGAATTTTGCCCGGGTGGCGGCCGAAACCTACTCTTATCGATTTCAGACCACCAAGGGATCTTTAATGTGCGCAACTTGCACACGGGCCCTCCGAGATTTTTCGCCCTTGTCCGAGAAGGCTAGGTGTAGATCTTTCCTACCAGAAGATCAGGGGTGTGGCAGAAAGACAGCAGTAAGGAGGAGCCAAGGAGTAACAGTAGAAAGGCTGCAGAAAGAGTCAGGAGCCCAGAGGAGGGGGCAAAGGAGGTGAGGGGTTGGGGGCAGAAAGTGGAAATGAAAGCAGACAACAGAACATTGCTAGAGAGCAGGAAAGAAGGTGAAAGGAGACAATTTTAGAGAAGAAAATTTTTGGGTCGCTACCCGGATTCGAACACGGGACCTTTTGAATGAGAGGCCAACACCTTAACCCCTAGGCCACAAGAGCCCCCCAAGCCATGGCATTAAGTGAAATTCATAAACAATAATGAACCAATATGCACTTTTCTGAATACAAAGGCATTGTCAGCATCATTCCACAGGCATTATAGATGTTCGATGGGCAAGAAGGAGCAAACCACACCAAAACACCCGCCAACCACCCACAGAGGTGGTTTCCAGATCAAGTCGTTAACCAAATAAAGACAAGGTATCTTACATTATAGTATGTTTCGCCATGTTACGTTATTTCTTTCACTGTTTTTAATTGAAACATTACGAGCACCCAAGTCTTGGTTTTCATTGGTGCACTCTCTTTTTCTTTAATTTTATGTTATACTTTTTTTTTAAAACCTATATGCTTGTGGCATGACACATATGACATTTCTATTTTAATCAGTCTACCTTAAGCGATCCACTACAACCAACATCTCTTGTGTCATAAGTAGCAACATAACACAATGACTCGCTTGCCTTCGTACTCAGCTGTTTCGAGACATTTGGAAAGTCATTTTCCTGAATCTGTGCCCAACTTCAAGTTGCTAAAACTTCACCACAAAAGCGTCAAGACGAAAACTGTTTTCACCCACTTGAAAAGCTTGAACAATAAATCCTTATACTTTGATACTCATACTGTTATGTTTTCAAAATGTGACATGCAAGTCATTTTTAAGTCTGCTTCTGTCTCAAAATTGTCATGCTGGTGGCAGATATGTTAACTTCTCGCCTGAAGATGAATACATGAGTTTTGCTTTCCACCCTTGCCAGGGCAAGTTGTTCAAATGCAAATGTGAAATATGTCTGCGACATAGATTTATGCTCATTTCAAGACGATGTATAAGCGTGTGCATGTGATAAGCAAGTGGATGTGTGTGTGTGTGTGTGTGTGTGTGTGTGTGTGTGTGTGTGTGTGTGTGTGTGTGTGTGTGTGTGTGTGTGTGTGTGTTTGGCGTACATTTGTGTGCACATGTGTGCATGTTATGTGTTCGTGAGTGTGTATGTGTGTGTTTGTGTGTATGTGTATATGTGTGTGTGTGTTTGTGTGTGTATGAGTGTGTATATTTGTGTGTGTGTGTCACATGTGTGAATATTGTTCGTACATGCATTTATGTAAAGCGCCTAGAGCTGTGTTTACACGGGAGTGGGCGCTATAGAAATGATCTTCATTATTATTATTATTATTATTATTTAACAGTTTCACTGTGCCATTGCTTATCCAGCAATGTGAATGCAGATGTTCTATAGTGCCTTCCACTATGAATCAGTGAAAGGTGAAGACCCTTTCCCTAAGAAAAAGGTAATAGCTCATTTTTTGCCTTTCACCAAAAAATGTTGAACGAATTATTTATGACAGAGCATTCTTCATCATCAGATCAGTAAAAATGAATTTTATAAGAAACACCAGCAAACACAATTACCTTTCAGCTTTTAAGAATTAACTGATAAAGAACAAAAGTCAGATCTTTAAATACTTAAAGCTTTCCTTACAAATATCACATTAAATTTCAGTACCTGAACAACAGCTGTCCCCGGTGGTGACAGCTCCTTGACTTTTCCGTCATTTTCAAAAGTACTGCACTGTGTGAACTCTGGCTTGTTTTGATTTACATCCGTAATGTCAATACGGAAGACTGCCGTTGAAGTTTGAGATGATGTACCCCCGCAACATGAGCCATCATCCTGAGCTCCAATAATCAAAGTATAAGATTCTACATCTGGCGGGATTTCAGCAATAGTACGGACCAGTCCAGTGTCTGCAACACTGAAGATGTCTCGGGCTTCACTGGATGCTGCATTGGAAAAAGTAAAAAATAGTGAAAAGTTTAAGCAAAAATTTGCTGACCACTCTGCTGTATTTTTTCACCTTCCTTGAGAGGCTAACTAAAAAATCAAAAGCTATAAATTACATTTATGAGGAGTCTTCAGTTGTCACAAACTTTAACCTTGAATCCTTTGTTTCCATACTTTCGTGGTTAGATGAAGTACGAAAAAATAATTTTATACATGAGCATAAAATGACATGGAAACCATACTAACATACTCTTAAATCACAAAAACAGTCAAGGAAAGATTTGCAACATAATCTGCATACTGAAAGACACTAATGAGTGTAATGAAAATGAACAGATCTTTCTTTTAAAATATAATAGCACATTGGCACATGACAAGTTAATATCAATTGTGGTACTAAACTTGAGGAAAATAATTTATAACCATATCTACGGGACAATGATATTCATGATGCTCACGTGACAAGAAAAAGGTGAACACATCTCCATCTTTCTCAGTGGCCCGCACAAGAGTCACAATGAACCCTACAGATGCTCTCTCTAGCAGCTGGATGGGGCTGGTGCTGAAGAAAAATATTTCAGATTGATATAAATAAAAAAAGGTATTCTTGTTTTAAATAAAGGCATTTTTATCTATTTACAAAAATTGTATCTTGCGTTGGTAGTCCAGATGTTAGGCCACCATGTGAATGAGTTCCTGCCCATAGTCAACCAAAGGTCTTGAAAATAAGTTAATATTTTAGGAGCGCCTGCAAAATGGCAGCCAGCACCGTAAGCTTCCCGCAAAGCTGAAAATATTTCTGAGTGTTCTCGGGTCTGCTGGGGTAAAAATAGTTCTACAACGCACAGAGAATGTAGTAGAACAGTGCATGCCAACCTGGGAGATATTGCCCTCAAGTGGGCGATTTGGTAATTTTGGGGGGCACTGTATATCACCCAGTTAATTGACAGGTATTATTTCAATGCCCTCCTTGGAAATTACATGTAAGTTGGCGGTAAGAAAATTTTAGCCTCTTAAAAGTGGCAAAAAGTGGGCACTGGCTATAAAAAGGTTAACAAGCACTGATGTACTATATGTACGAGGGCTGTCCCACGGAAAACCGGAATTTGGCTGTAATTTGAAAACTATTCAATATTTTCACATTCTGTAAACGCATATTTGTAAAACAATCATTTAGGAATTTCCCGATTGAGCACCATGAGCATCGCACGAACAAAACGAACACAGCAGTTCTCCAAAGATGGCTACCCCCTTGGAAAATTGGTCAAGGGTAGAAGTGAGGTCTCTCATTCGGTCTCTGACCGCAAAAGGTCTCAAACCTATAGAAATACACACTGAAATAAAGTCAGTTTTCGGGGAGAAAGTAATGGCAAAGTCACAGGAATAGGAGTGGCGTAGTAAATTCAAAGCCGGGCATACGCATGTCAATGACGAAGTTCACCCAGGACCGTGTTTTTCTGCCAAGACTCATGAGGACAACAAGAGTCGCGTTAACAAACTCATTCAAACAGACAGGGGCCTAAAAATTCGCGAAATTTCCGAGTCGCTAAACATTCCAAAGTCGACTGTTCATAGGATAGTGTTTGATGAGCTGCACTATCGAAAGGTGTCTGCTCGATGGGTCCCAAAAGAGCTGACAGCTGATCACAAGATGCAACGTGTTGAATTTGTTGAATCGTTGTCGCCAAGCTGTCACGGGAGTCATGAACGCTTCTGGAGACCTCCAATAAAACGATGAAGCATTCCTGAGAAGCATTCTTACAGGCGATGAGATTTGGATACACCACATGACCCCTTAGACGAAGAGGGATTCAATGGTTTGGAAGCCCACGTCTTCACCTCCCCCAAAAAAGTTTAAAGTTCAGCCATCGGTGAAGAAACTCATAGCCACGGTTTTCTGGGGTGCTAAGGGTGTTCTGCTTTTTGAAATTCTGGAACCAGGACAAACTGTTAATGCAAACAGACACTGCCAGACTCTTGATAAGTTGAGAGAGGTTGTGCGAAGAAAAAGGCCAGGCCGGTTGTCCAGCGGGATCATTTTGCAATATGACAACGCAACGCCACACACCGCCAACGCTACGAAAGTCTGGATCCAGAGGATCGGGTGGGAAGGTCTGCCTCACCCCCTTATAGTCCTGAATTGGCCCTGTCAGATTATCACCTTTTCGGACCAATGAAATAGCATATTTCTGGACAGCGATTCACCGACAGCGAAGACCTCGTGGAAGCCGTGAAAGATTGATTGAAATTCCTTGACATAAAATTCTTCAGGGAGGGTATCTTCTCCCTGATCCAGCGATGAAAAAAATACGTCCAGCGGGATGGTGATTACATTGAAAAATAAAGCACATGTTGAGGTATGATGCGTTACATTTTTGTTATAATAGGACAAAGATTGTTGCTTTTATGGACCTTTTCCGGTTTTCCGTGGGACAGCCCTCGTACTATATAAATGCAATTATTATGGTTATCATTTGTTATTATTACAGTTATTATTACTATTATTATTATTGTTATTAAAATACTATCTAATGCAAACGTTAATCAATACTGGAGTTCTATTGACAGACCTGAAGCGAATAAAAGGTCACTGTAGTTGTTTTTTTGGTTATATGAAGCTGTAAGCAGCATAATCCACATTAACACTCATCATAAAAGGACTCAATAAAAAAGAAATCACTTCAAGTGAACACACTTCAAGTAACGTCCCCTGAATATTCATAATAAATAGGGAATTAACGAAGTCATTTATCTGTTATTCAAAGATATTTTAAATAGGAGTTTGATACAGGAACCAACTGCAGATCCATGCCATTTGTAGAAGTTCATCAACTTCAAGACATTCGGGTTCTGCTGCCTCCAGAACAAGGCATCAAAATGAAGAAATAAAACATGAGGCAAACAAGAGGTCCAAAAACCGTTCTACATTTTCTTGAAGCAACAATATAATATTCGGCTGTGCACATGTATATATACAAAAGACAAAAGAGTTCTTACAACTTGTAACTAGTACTTACGAGTTGTCAATTTCTGGGGGATTGTCGTTGACATTTGTGACGGAGACAGTAACTTGTGCAGTGCTTTGGTTCGGCACCATGCCTTTGTCAGTCGCTGTGACGGGAAACTCGTAATTTGGACCAGGAGGCTCATCATAATCCAATTTGCTGAAGAAAAGCAATCACAAGTCACGAGAATAAACACCTTTTCAGAAATACTTTCACCGTGCAGCTGACATATATTTCATAAGCTCATATACATATGTGTCACTACACAGTGAAATCAGGCGCTCGTCAATTTTTAAGCGAGTAGCAGCATTGATATCATCTTAAAGCTTGTTCGTGTGTCTTGCTTTCAATGAAAAGAATACCCATCTGTCTGAAAAAGAATTTGAGATATTTGCGATTGAAGAAGGTGAGGTCACCTGGTTTCAGAGGTAAAGTTAGTGAGAAAATGGCCGCTAAAGTCTGGTAATTTCCATAGCTTGAGAGTCCCTGGAAACTGAAAATTTACTTTTTTGTGCCTTAAATCAACGTTTTTCAGTAAAATCCACACAGAAATGTGTTTTTGACAGTAAGGACAGAAACATTTGCCATCATACTTGTGTTAACTTTAAGATACCCTAGGTAACCACAGTAATTATTTTTGGTGTTTACAGCGCAACTGCATACGGTCATAAGACATGAGCGCGTGGGACACAATAAGCATTTCCAGTTTAGTAGGAATTAATTTTGAATTTTGTTCGGGTGGTACCCGAAGCTTACTCTTATCGATTTTAGGACCACCAAGGGATCTTTAACTAGCACCTTGCACACGGGACCACCAAGATTTTTTTCGCCCATGTCTGAGAAGGCTAGGTGTTAGATCTTACCTACCCTAAGATCTGGGGTGCGACTGAAAGACAGCAGTACGAAAGAGCCAGGAGAGTAGCAGTAGAAAGGCAGCAGGAAGAGTCAGGAGCCCAGAGGAGGGATCAAAGGAGGGAAAGGGCAAAAAGTGGAGACGAAAGAAGACATGATTAGAGAGCAGGAAAGGAGGAGGAAGAACAGAATTTTAGAGATGAAAATTTTTCGTAGCTGTCAGGTTTTGAACATTGTATACTTTTTGACCATGAAAGCCCCGTAACTACAGTCGAACCTGTCCAAGATGACCTCTCACAGTCAAGGAAAAAATCGGTCGTCTAGACAGACAGGTTCATTATGATAAAGAAAAAATGCGTGTAGAGAAATGGGAAGAGGTGCAGTTTGTACAAGTGATCGTCTTGTTTAGGTTAACATTCAAGCAGATTCAAATGTATTAACATAAAGTTAGCTGACAAACAAACATTTTAAAAAAATACATACATAAATATATATATATATGTATGAGTATATACATAATTTTAAAATTTTTTAATACCTTTTCACTGTGATGACACCAACATACACTATGTTCCCACTTTGCCGTTCCTCGCTTCGTGTTGTGATGCTAAAATAGCCATCCTCAGGCACAGAAAACTCAATTTCTCCATTTTGACCAGAGTCCAGATCGGTGGCAGTCACTGTAAGGTAAGGTCAAACAAAACTACTATTATTTCACATTACATTTAGGTCAGATAGTCACCATCTTTATCAATTCATCAATCAGAAATGCCTGTGTTCACACAGAGCACAGGTCAGTATTTTTTGAAAATCTCTCTCTCTCTCTATCCCTCTCTCTCTCTCTCTCTATCCCTCTCCCTCTCTCTGTTTTTCCCCCTCTCTCTCTGTCTGTCTGTCAGTCTCCCTCCCCCC